ATATATATATATATATATATTAATGAGCAAATAAATGTATTATGTATTATATTTGTATATTATCCACATTGTGGGGACAACTGTGGGGGTTGATTGTTAACGTCTCCTGCGTTGTTTGCAGAAGCGATCTGCTCCCGACCAGGTGGGAGAATATCTCTTTTCTTGTAAGAGCTGGTAGTTAGCCATCTGCTAGTCAGCTAGTCACTCGGCTAGCCGCCCAGCTAGCCACCGTCTAGCCACTCGGCAAGCCACACCACCCAGTAGCCATCCGCCTACATAGGTAGCGCGTTTTCTGCTGGGTGTGTAGTTTATGGAGAGAGCGGAGGCAGTGAATCATATAAAGCCAATAAGAGAGGAGGCAGCGAAAGAGAAGGAAGAAGAAACCTTCGAAGGGATTTTTGACTTGGCGGCGAAAATGAAGGAGAAGAAGAAGCAGGTGAGTTAGTACGAAAATGTAAAGAGAGGGGGAGAAGGAGACAGATAGGAGACGGGTGGAGGGAGACAGGCAAAAGGGGCAAGAGAGAGACCCTGGTTCAGACAGCTAGAGACAAGGACGGAGGCAGATGCACTCGCTGCTATTGCTGTTGAACATAGCGAAAAGCAACGGGCAACCTAAAGGAGACCGTGATGCAGTGGGAGGGAGAGACCATGTAGATACTGGGTTAGAGAGAGCCAGGAACGAGGCTAAAAAGTGCAGTTGGCTGGTGAGTATCTTCTCTTCTTGTCGCTGCCATCATGACTGTGTCTCCTCTTCTTGTGGCTGCCATCATGACTGTGGCTGTTAGGTGGCAGAGCCCTTGGAGCTGGAAGTGATGCAGCTACCAGAGTTAGAAGAAGAAGTTGTGTCAGAATCCGAAGAAGAGGAAGACAGAGGCGTTTACCACAAGGATGTGGTGACTGCCCCGCAACAAACAAATATGCTGCAACCCATCGCACACCCCGTCGCTATTGAAGGTGGGCCAGGAAAGGAGACACTTCAGAGGGCAGTTTATGTGCAGACGCCTGAGCAGTAGGAGGCAGGCAAAAAATGGCGTTATCTTCTTCCGCGTTTGTAACCCCATATTGGGTCGATCGCGCGCATTTGTTTTCTGGGGCTTTGTAACGTAGTCTAAATTCGGCGTTTGAGGAAGGAAGAGTGTCTTGAGGAGCACTGAAGGGCTGGTTTATATATTTATTTTGCATGCACTGGCTTTGTCTGTTGTTGATGCTGTATAGTGGGGTGCACGCGCTAGGGGATCATGGGGCTCTCGCCTTGCATGCACGCTAACTATCAGTGCCTTGAGGGAAAGCGGGCCTTTTTTGCGCATGCGTGCATGCATACATGCATGGGTGTTTGCAGGAGAATGCGCTGTCAATAGTACACTGCACTTTAGAGATGACTCCCCTTACCAAAGAGAATTCCCCGTTCACAAAATCGAATGGTATGGCGACATATATATATATATATATA